TTTGCTCGAATTCAAGCAAGGATAACATAAAAAATTGCTCGAATTCAAGCAAGGATAACATAAAAAAACATAATCGATACAACCCATTTCATCAATTGCACTATATAATATTCATTGTTATAATTTAAAGATTATAACAAATCTTTCCGTGTAACGCACAGGTAAAAATAGACATATTATGGAATAATAATAATAGTGTGCACAAATTTTGAACCTTAGACCTCAAAATTAAAATACAATAAATACATGTTCCTACCATTTCTTTATAAAGCCTTTTAAATTTAATTAAAAATTTTTAATTTTTATTTCGAAATTAATTAGGTAAAAATAAAATATTAAGCTTCTAAAATTTAGGACCCTCTAAAATTTGGGGCCTATACGGTAGCCCAGCTTGTACAGCACAAAATTCGGGCCTGCGATTCACGAGCATCCCATATTATTGTGGTTGATGCATCCACGTGATGGTGGTGGTACTTGGTTGATGCATCCCATATTAAGCAGCTTGCTCTCTGCTTCTCTCAAGTACCAATCAGAGTACTGTTTATTGGTATCTGCCGCCCTACACCAACCACCAAGTTCCCATAAACCTTCCAAATATTTCACAATTTCCCTTTTTTCTGGCTGGTGCCTAGGAGCTCTCAACTATCACCTTTTTTTTTTTTTTCTTTTTTTTAATTTTTTTTAAAATTCTTTTTTAACACTCTTAGCTTTAGTCTGCCCAACTCTTGTCACATGCCCATGTCCTATTTACCCATTGTTAGAAAAATGACAAAATGTGGATATGTAGAGTGGCGGCCCATGTCACGTATAATGCACGCACGTATCTGGTATATGTAGGGAGTTAAAATTAAAACAATGTTATTATTATTATTATTATTATTATTATTATTATTATTATTATTGTTGTTGTTGTTGTTGTTGTTGTTGTTGTTATTGTTATTATTATTGTTGTTGTTGTTGTTGTTATTATTGTTGTTGTTGTTATTATTATTGTTGTTGTTGTTATTGTTGTTGTTGTTATTGTTGTTTAGTAGCAGTAGCAGTAGCAATAGCAGTAGTTAACTCAACTCAGCCACCAAAAATTAAGAAATGGCTAAATAAATTTAAAATTTTATTTTGCATTTGATTTAGTGGGATTATGCGTACATATATTCTGTTACACCATAGTTTATTATTTTACAACCATACCATTCATATAAATCTTATTAAAAATTTATTTCATGGACCAAGGTCCACATAAACACATGCGTGTATGCACAATTTTGAAAAATTATAGATTCCTACTAAGTAGTACTGTAGTAGTGATAATATAATAACTACTACTACATTTATTGGACAGAACCAAGTTGTTACTTTATGGACGGTTGTACAATATTGAGCTAAAGAGGGGTAGTACAATCTTGAGCTAAAGAGGGGTGTTATAAAATTATATACCTTACGAGTATGAATTATATACCTCGTCATTCGATCTAGAGTCCATAATGCTACATTAATATACTATGTAATATTTACCAACACTATAATCTCAGTTATCTTATAGTAACACCATATTATGTTTGTCCTTTTGTGAACACGAAACCTGAATTGTCCCACCTAAATACTTTTGAGTTATCATAAATCACTGCTGGAAATTATAGAATTTCCGACCACCTGAAAGTGATCTTAAATCAAGTCGAAAGTAAAAAGTGGTCGGAAATAGCAACAAAGATTTTTCCGGATACCAAAAGTGGTCGGAACAATACTTTCAACTTGATTTAAGATCACTTTCAGGTGGTCGGAAATTCCATAATTTTCAGCAGTGAATTCGTAATTTATTTTTTTACAATTTGATCAAGTCAAAGTTGTGAGGTTCTTGGGATGAGAATTTTGGTCTTTTGAGGTGAGTTTTCCTTCTGAAGATTTTCTTTAAAGAAATTATTTGTAGATTTTCAGAGCACAAATATTTATTTAATGTTTTTTTGGTTCTTTAATTTGGAGAGGTAATGGAATTTATAGGGATAATTGTTAAATAGGCAATTAGACAAATCAAAATCTGCATTCAAAAAAAAGACAAATCAAAATCTCTGATTTGATGTAATTGAACTAATAACTTATTAAATTTTTACAATTAAGGCAATAATCGGTAAATCTAAAGTTAAATAGATAAAGATTGTTAATGTGTCATTTTTAATAAAATAAATAAATATGTTAAAATATGAGAATAGCCAATCGCTTCTTTGTCTTCTCTGCCGCTTCTATGGTATGTGCTTTTCTATCAAGATGGCATGGCTTCTTCGTTTAGATATAGACAAAAAAGCCAACATGGATGTTCACCCAAATATATATTACAAAGAAGCATGACATTTAGTGAAATTGAAATGGTAGATAATAATAAATATGTCATATTATTCTATTTATTTACAAGTATGTGAGGAGTTTTATTTTTGGTATATAAATCATATACAAGGCAAGGAGAAAACAGATATGAAGCATATCAACACTATAACAACACATTTGGTTCACGGAATGAATTTTGAGGTAATAAGAATGCTATTCCATTTTTTTTTTTTTTTTTTTTTTTTTTTGGTGAAGTAGAAGCCCTCAAAGAGAGCTTTATCTAACCCTTAAATAGGGTGTGTTACATAAATCGGCTGAAAGAAGATCGGTTAGACCCGTAGGCGCTTGTTCCAGGAGAGTAGTACCCCAGTCGGTCGTTTGGCCCAGATTAGCTAGCCAGTCAGCACATTTGTTCCCTTCCCTTTCAATGTGGGTGAACCGGATAGTGTGAAATCTCGACGCAAGGTCGATGCAGTCCTTGACTAACGTTATCATAGTCTCGGACTTCTCGTTATTGTTCATGATTGCTATAATGGCTGCTGAGTCCATCTCCACCCAAAGTTTGTCGATCCCCATTCTCAGGCTGATCCATAAACCCTCCCTTAGGCCCCACAGCTCAGCCGAGAAGCTATCTGTAGTACCAATCTTGATAGCAAAACCCTTAACCCAAATGCCTCCCTCGTCTCGGATTAGGCCCCCTGCGCTAGCCATGCCGGGGTTGATTTTCTTTGCTCCGTCCGTATTTAATTTCCTCCATCCTCTTTGTGGTGGTAACCACGTAATCCATTTCCAAAGACCATCTGATGTCCCCCTATTCTGCATGAGATTATCCTTGGCTTCTTTTGCCAACTTGTGAGCGAGAATAGCCACCTGACGCGGAGCACCAGCATTGTTATTGAAGATGAAATCATTTCTTGCTTTCCAGAGAAGCCAGATAGAATACGTGAACATAATGCTCCAAGGGGTCCCATCTTGCATGATTTTCGTGCTTCGGGCATTACTTTCGAACCACTGGCAGAAAGGTGCAAAAGGGTGAGAGGGCATCCCTCCCATGTTCTGGATGTGCACCCAACACTGAGCAGCGAAGTCGCATTCCCGGAGGATGTGGTTCATCGATTCTTCTTCGTTCTCGCATCTCAAGCAGTTGCCATCATCGGTGAGGTTACGTCTTCGCCGTTCTACGTTTGTGAGAAGCTTGTCTTTGTGTAGGAGCCACAGGAAGAATTTAATCTTCTCCGCGCATTTCATGTTCCAGATCCAATCCCAGTTGTTATTCTCCATCTCAGTACCTGCAATTAACCTGTACGCAGATTTAACGGAGAACGTACCTGAAGTGGAGCCTGGCCAGGTGAGTCTGTCGGAAGTGGTCTCATCAACTGGAATGGGAATAGTGCGTATCTTGTTGATGAGGTCGGCTGGTAACACATCTTCTAAGGCAGGCCAATTCCAGTTCCTGTCTTCATTAATGAAATCGGCTACCCTCATGTTGTAGGAGCTTTCAGGGATGTCTATTGAAGTTTCTAACCCCAAGGGTTTATCATTGATCCACCAGTCAGACCAGAAATCCAATGACTCCCCGTTCCCTACTCTCCATTTCGCCCCGATTTCGATAACATTTCTCCCTTTGACAATACTACGCCAACTCCAGGAGGCCTTCTTAGGAGTGCCAGAAGTGAAGAAGTTGCCATTATGGACGTATTTATGATTCAGAGCTGTGACCCAAAGCTTGTCCGAGTCATTGATTAGTTGCCAAGCAAGTTTCGCTAAGAGGGCCAAATTAAAGTCCGCGGCCTTTCTTAGGCCTAAGCCCCCCGGCCTCTCTTGGGGTACAAACCTCCTTCCAATTCACCGGGTGGATTTTTCTTTTCGCATCGTTGGAGCCCCATAAGAAGTCCCTGCAAATTTTATCAATTTCATTGCACGTACCTGAGGGGAGAGCCATGGATTGCATCGAGTAGACAGGAATGGTTGCGAGGGCGGACTGGACCAGCACACGTCTGCCAGCAACAGTTAACGTGTCAGCCTTCCACTTCGTCAGTTTTTTTCTCATGTTGTCCAAGATATAAGAAAAGTGCCTCTTAGTAACTCTCTTTTGTAGTATGGGCATGCCAAGATATTTCCCAAGGTTTTCCGTCACTGGAATGCCCGAGATGGTACCTAACCTCCTCTTGACCCTGTTCAGTGTGTTAGAAGAACAGAAAATCAAAGATTTATTGAGATTAATTTGCAAACCTGACCAACTAGAAAATTCGTTTAAGCAGTCCATCGTCGTGTGGATTTGATTCTCCGATGCTTCTCCAAAGAGCATGAGGTCATCCGCAAAGAAAAGGTGCGAGACACCAATTCCTCCCCTTGAGATGTGGATAGGTTTCCAAATGTTACTGTTGACCTCTTGCTGAATCATATACGACAATTTTTCCATAGCTAAGTTAAACAAGTATGGGGCTAGGGGGTCTCCTTGTCTTAGACCCCTCCCCGATTGGAAAGGAGCGAGTTTCTCTCCATTCCAGAGAATCTTGATGTTGCTTTCTTTAAGGGTGAAGAGAATAAGCTTGATCAAACGATTCGGGAACCCAAAGTCAACGAGAACCCTTTCTAGGAAACGCCAGTCTATGCTGTCATAAGCTTTATGCAGGTCCACCTTCATCACAAAGGCACCCTTTTTACCTTTTCTTTGATTGATGCTATGGACAATCTTGGGTGAGGATGATATTGTCTAAAGTAGATCTCCCCGGTAAGAAGCTGTTCTGATGTGGACCAATCAAATTATTCATCAGCGGTCTCAACCTGTTGACAATTACTTTCGAAACAATTTTGAACATGACATTGAGGAGAGTGATCGGCCGGAAGTCTGCAGCGGTTTTCGGGTTGTCTTTTTTTGGTATCAAGGTGACGAACGCCTCCAAAAGAGAAAGTGGAATTGTGGCCGAGATAAGGGCCTCATTCACCATCTTAGTTATAGATCCGCCTACCTCTTGCCAGAAGTCTTGATAGAACGCTGCCTGAATGCCATCAGGGCCCGGACTTCCCATACATTTCATGCCGAACACTGCAGCCTTAACTTCGTCCACGTCGGCCGGTCGGACAAGCTTCTTGGCTTCTAACGGGTTGAGTTTTTTACCATCGTGTCTTGTTGGTGCATTTCCATCTTGGTTAGCCCTACAAAAGAGGTTAGAAAAGAAATGGATGACATGATCTTTAAGAGTCTTACCATCGGTATTCCATTCCCCGTTAATTTTGAGGGCTCTGATTCTTCCTCTGCTTCGTCGAATGATAGTGGAACGGTGATAGAAGCGGGTATTCCTGTCCCCGTCTTTGATCCAAGCTTTCCTGGATTTCTAGAACCAAAGGAGCTCTTCTTGGGCTAGCGTTTTGTTAAGATCCTCCTTAAGTTTCTTTTCCAGAACTTGGAGCCCCCGGGAGTGATACCAATTTGAGTTTTGGATACCTTGTAGTCTGGCTTGCAGCTGACGTTTTCTTTTGAAAATATTACCAAACACCTCTTCATTCCATTGCTTGCTAAGCCTTGTAACTTCATCGATGGCTTCCACCACATTACCACCTCTGTCTTTCCAAGCAGTTTTCCAAATTCTTTTGTAGTCATCATGAGTAAGCCAAGCTGCTTCGAACCGGTAAGGCCTATTACCCCTTACCGGGGCCGATCCAGCATGTCTAATGAAAGCAATAGGGTGGTGATCCGAATGAGTTCTAGTAAGGACTTTGGCTTTAGCTTCCGGGAAAGCCTCTTGGGCTTCAATATTCCAGAAGACACGGTCAAGCTTACGTCTAGTGTTCATCCGGCCCCCGATATGTCTACACCACGTAAACGACGGTCCTATGGAGTTGACTTCCATGAGACCACAGTTCTCAAAGGCTGTACAGAATCTGCTCAGATTATGGGGATTAACATGATCATTTCCCCAGTGTTCATTAATGTTTGCAATGTCGTTGAAGTCTCCCTGTATGACCCACGGCCCAGCTATGGACTCAGAAAAGACTCTGCAGTCATGCCAGAACACTTCTTTGGTCCTCAAGTTAGGCCTAACGTATGCGAAAGAGTGGTACATGGATGAGTTCCCACCTTCCGTGATTTTACAGTGAATAGTTTGTGAATTGCTTCCCACCACTTCTAAGTTGAGGAGGTTACTGTTCCAAACTAGAAGAAGACCGCCTGCAAAACCAAGCGGATTAACAACAAAAAATTTATTAAAGCCCCACTTACTGAGCGCTTTGAGAAGGTTGTCGGCTTTGCTTGTCTTGGTTTCAAGGAAACAGATAGCTCTCACGTTATTGTTGTCCATGACTACTTTAGCGTGACGGATCATTTCCTTGTTCCCAACACCCTGACAATTCCACGAAACAATCGTCATATAGGGGGTTGAGGGGACAAGGAAGTTAGGACACCACCTTCCTTAAGCGTCGTCAAAATGGGAGTATTGGGCACTGTGCTTTGTCTCCCGTCTGTAGTTTTTTCCAAGCTGATATCCTTGGAGTTGTTATGTTGCGTCATTCCAAAGACAAAACCACCAGCAGATCTCTGGGTAGGCTGAGGAACTGGTTGGTTATCCTTCACGGCATTAGTCTGCTTAGAGTTTTCCATGTTTTTTTGTGGCTTGCCTCTTCTGCTTCTCGGAGGTTTCTTCGTGGTTTTTTGCTTCCCACTAGGATCCCCTTCCAGGAAGATGGGAGTTTCATGCAAATCGTCAATCTCCTGTAAAACAGAAAAACCATTACTAACATTTAACGCAGTAGGGGCTGGTGGACTCACCTTGTTCACCGGAGGGGATGTCTTTTTGGATTTCCCTCGCGCAGCTGCCGTCTTACTGGTTTCCGGTTCGACGTCAACCACCACCCTTTTGCCTTTATTAGTTGACTCTTTAGGCCTGGTTTTTGCAGTAGTCTGTTTTGGAGGATTGCGACTATCAATCTTGGATTTCTAATCCTTATAGGACACAATCATCCAAGGTCCATACTTTTTCAACGGAGCCGCCATCGGCACTTCTTTTTCGTTAACCTTCCCAGTGTCGTTGACGTTCATCTCCGACGTAGGATTGGTGTCCGGAATGTTCTGTTCCGGCGGCTTGTTCAGATTGCAGTGGTTGGAGACATGGCCTACTTCTCCACATGTGAAGCATATGGTATGCAGGCCTTCAAACTCCACCTTTTGGATCCGATCGAGAACCCATATCATCGAGACAAGAGGTTTCGATAAATCTATCTCAACAGCCGCTCGTGCGAACATGCCACGATCAATACCCGATGTGCATCTGTCAAGTTTGATCGGATTTCCCACGTGGTTGAGGATATTTTTAACTGCGTCGTCGCGGTAGTATTCCGCTCCTAGGCCCGGTAGACGAACCCACACAGTCATCTTCTCCATTTTAGCAGTCTGGGGATCGAAGTTTAGTCTCCATCTTTGCGGGATGACATAACAACCAAACAACTTCCATGGCCCATCAAGGAGGACGTGTCTGTACTCAGAGGCCACGTTAAAGTGGATGATGTAGTAACTATAGCCGATGTCTATCATCTCCACCTTTTCATTGATGTTCCACAGTTTGATCAGTCTTTGTTTCAAGAGAGGGAAGGCCGGTGGCTTCCCTAAAAACTTGATAATAAGCGCCTTACGCCAAGGTTTCACAAGATCTTCCCGGAAGGCCTTGGAAAACTTCGCAACTGGGATGCCATCTCTCGTATCCTCCGTTGCTTTGTCAGGTTCCACCACGAAGCCATCACCCAGCCAGTCATCGTCCGTTACTTCAGCCATCTGGTCATCGTCTAGCATGGGGTGGGTTGTTGCGGTTTCCGCAAAGGAACGTTTGAGGATCTTCACTCTCTTGTTTGTGTGGGGGGCCCTTTGTGCTTCACCTTCTGCCACCGGCTGGGCGGCTGACGGCGACCCTCCGGCCACATCGTCCATGAAAGGTAAGTTCCACCGAAGGTGGATCTACCGGAAACTTACCAAAGAGACACAAGACGCGAGAGGAAAGTTGGAGAGCGTTTTCTCAATAATTCTGTGACAATAGTTTTTGACTTGTATCCAGGAATGCTATTCCATAAGGAATGGAATAGGCAAGGAATAGAATAGGAATTGTATTCTATTGTTTGGTTCGCGGAAGGAATAGACTTTAGGAATTATATTACAGTGTTTGGTTGATTTAAGGAATATAAATGAAATATGTTTTAAAAGACATAAATACCCTTATTAAAATATGTGATGGTGGCGATGGTGGTGGTGGTGGTGGTGGTGGTGGTGGCGGTGGTGGTGATGGTGGTGCTGGGGTGGTAGTGGTGGTGGTGGCGGTGGCGGTGGTGGGGTGACGGTGACGGTGGTGGGGGCGGCGACGGTGGTGCTGCTGGTGGTGGTTCTGGTGGTTCTGGTGACGGTGATGGTGGTGGCGGCGGCGATGGTGGTGATGGCGGTGGTTGTGCTGGGGTGGCAGTGGTGGGGGCGGCGGCGGTTGTGGCGATGGTGATGGTGGTGGTGGTGGCGGTGGCGGCGATGGTGGTGGTGGTGGTGGCGGCGACAGCGGTGATGGTGGTGGTGGCGACGACGGTGGTGAAATAGGATAAATTTATATATAGGATAAAAAAAATTAGGTTAAAGAAAGGGGTAAAAAAGAAAATAGATTCTAAAATATATTCCTAAGCGTTCAGTAATAGGCTAATACCAGAGGGGGGCTAGTAATAGCTATTACCTTATTTGAGGTAATAGGCTATTACCAGGAATATTATTCCTGGTAATAGAAATGGTTACCAAACAAAGGAATAAGCCTATTACTGGGAATGCTATGCCATTCCCTGCCTATTCCGTAAACCAAACGGGCCATAAGTTCCATTTATCTAACTCAACTGAAGGTAACGTGACACTTTGTATTTGTACTACGTTTATAATACAACATTCTTTATTGGATGTATCTAGTGGTCTTTTACTAGCTAGCTAGGGTTATAAGATGATGACCTTCACCCTAAATACATATTCAAGTAACGACTGCAAGCAACTAGTGTCACAACCTATACTTCAGGCAATCACCGGCGACGACTCATGGCCTCATGTCTAGAGAATTCCTTTTGAGTTTGTAAATCTATGACTTTTACTTTTCATTTTTTTAATACTTAGGTGATCATAGTTTCGCCTGACTAATTATATTCTACCCCTATAGGACTCCACTCCTAGAGCCACTGTGTAGGTAAATTTTGATTCGCGCATTTAGTCCTCCGGTCAGACCCTAGTCTTAATATGCACACAAGAGATCCAATCCATGTTAAGGATATCTGTGGCTGACATCTTTTGTATATGATTAGTTCTAGTTGCATTCCTTTTATGTAGCATTGTTAGACTGGTTGTTACAACAACCTGCTATCTTCTCTCCCTTGTATGCTATTTAAAGCTGATTGTTTTACATCAATAATATCAATTAAGTTCATAATCTATTATGGTATCAAGAGCCTAATTTCTCCTACGATATTTTTTTTTCTCTCCTTCCCCTTCCAAATGGCTTCCGCTACTACAACCACAAATACAATAATCCAATTAAATGCCCCAACACACTTCCCAATTAAACTCACGATTGTGAATTTCCCAGTGTAGCGGCGTCAAATTCATGCCACACTTGTTGGGTTTAATCTCTTTGGCTATGTTGATGGTACAACCAATGAACCAGCTAAATTCACTGATCCTGCTCAAACTTCTGTCAACCCGGCCATTTAGCTTGGTATCGTCAAGACCAAGTTATTGTCAGTGCTCTACTTGGGAGCTGTACTGACACCATACAGCCCCTTATCTCCTCGGCTACGACAGCCCATGATGCGTGGCAACGTCTTGTTGCTAGTTACGCCAGAGCCTCACGAGGACGTATCATATTCCCCAAGGCCAAACTCACGAGGAATCCGCGAGGGTCTCGGTCCATCACCACTTATCTTAATGACATGCGAGCCATAGCTGATGATTTAGCGTTGGCTCAGTGTCCTGTATCTGACGAAGATCTAACCGTCTATTTATTGACTCAGCTAAGCGAGGATTACAATTCCATCACATCGGTCATCCGCGTTCGTGAGAAGCCTCTTTCTTTTGGCGAGTTGGCAGATGTGCTGACTGACCATGAACGCCAATTAACAGACGCAGATGCTTTGCGTCAGTCCTTTTTTACTACTGCTAATGTTACTCAACGCACCTCGTCACCCCTGCGGCAAAACCACCAGTCCAACACCAATCGGAGGGCCCGCAACAATAACAATCATTATGGCTCCAATCGACAACAAGGGGAACACAATCGCTCCGGTATCGTCTGTAAGTTTTGTTATCTTACGGGTCATGAAACAAGGGTGTGTCGCAAGCTAGCCCAATTTCTAAAGGAGCATAATGTTCCCCCTGTGCAATCCTTTGTATCTCCTACAGTCAATTCGATGACTGGGGCTTCTCCTCCCTGGATGTTTGATAGTGGGGCGTCGCACCATGTGACACCAAGCCTCGCTCCTTTGCAGACTTTCGTCGAGTATAGTGGATCAGATGAAATACGTCTGGGTGACGGTAATTCCTTACAAATATCCCATATTGACCAGTCTGTCATTCCCACTCCTTCTAATGTTCTCACTCTAGATAATGTCTTGCGTGTCCCACAGTTACACACCAATTTAGTTTCTATTTCCCAGTTATGCAAGACTAATCGTGTGTTTGTTGAATTCTTTGATTCTTATTTTCTGGTCAAGGAACTTTGAACGGGGATTCCGCTGCTACAGGGGGCGAACATTAATGGTGTCTATTTTGGACCAGTTGCCTCTCAACCAACAGTTCATGCTCCGCAAAAGTTGGCCAGTTTGTCTCAGTGACACCAACAACTTGGCCACCCGTCGAATAAAGTGTTGCAACTTGTGTTGCAACGCTGTAATGTTCCAGTCTCCTTGTCATCTCTGCGAAAATTTTTCTGTTCCTCCTGCAATGTTCATAAAATCCATAAACTGCCTTTTTCTAAAAATACACTTGTTAGCACTAAACCTTTGCAACTTGTTTATACTGATGTGTGGGGACCTACTGAGAACTCTATTGATGAATTTCGCTATTATATCATTTTTGTAGACCACTTCTCAAAATACATTTGGATGTACCCCATGAAACGTAAATCGGATGTGTTTACAATATTCATTCAGTTCAAATAGCTAGTGGAAACATATTTTAGCCTGTCAATTATTTCTGTTTACTCAGATAATTGGGTCGAGTTCATGAAACTTGGTCCGTTTTTAAATACTCACGGTATCTCTCATTTCACCACCCCGCCACACACTCCTGAGCACAATGGTGTCGCAGAGCGACGACACAGGCATGTCGTGGAAACTGGCATGTCTCTTTTTCACTCCGCGTCTTTGCCGTCCTCATACTGGACCTACGCCTTTTAGACAGCTGTATATCTTATTAACCGGGTCCCTACTCCGATTTTAGGTAATCAGTCCCCGTTTTATGTCTTGTTTCAACAATTGCCTAATTATGCCAAGTTACAACCCTTTGGTTGCCTGTGTTTTCCCTGGTTGCGTCCCTATAACACCAAGAAACTACAACCAAAGTCACGTCCATGTATTTTCCTTAGCTACTCGAACACCCAATCCGGTTATAAATGTCTAGATTTTGGTTCGAATTGTATTTATGTATCTAGGCATGTTAGATTTGTGTCCCATGTGTTTCTTTATAACGATTTTCAAAAGTCATCTAACAGCTTACCTTCTGATTCTCATGATTCAGAATCACGCCATATTTTGTGCAAGTCGTCTCCTTTGTCTACACAGGTAGAACCCGTGGGTGTTCCAACACCAGCTCCAACTCCAGTTCAAAGTCCAGTTCCAACTCCAATTCCAAGTCTAGTTCCAACTCCAGTTCCGACACCAGTTCCAACACCATCACCGTCGGCTGCGTCCAATTCATCGTCTCCCACTGTCTCAGAAAATGGCCAACATGCAGCCCAATCCGTGTCTGACTCACAACCTGTCTCCACCTTCGAAATGTCTCAACCGTGGAATAATGTTCGCCGTTCCACCCGGGAGCGTCGTCCTAATCCTAGGTATTCCGATTATGTCATTAACCACGCCACTTCCCATCCCTTGCCTCCTGCTTTAGAACCTTCTACAGTCGCCCAGGCTCTTAAAGACGCTCGGTGGAGGAAAGCAATGGATGAGGATTTGAAAGCGCTGCAACGTAACAACACGTGGCAACTGGTTCCCCGTGGAGCGGCTATTCCGATTGGCTGCAAATGGGTCTTCCGTGTTAAGCGAAAATCGGATGGTTCGGTTGATCGTTTTAAAGCGCGGCTTGTCGCTAAGGGATTCTTGCAGACTGCTGGCCGAGATTATTTTGAGACATATAGGTCCGGTTATGAAACCTGTCACGGTCCGTATCATTCTGACCATTGCTTTGAGTAATAGCTGGGGTCTACGCCAGCTAGATATCAATAATGTGTTCCTTAATGGAACATTGCATGAGGAGGTGTTTATGGAGCTGCCTCCCGGGTTTGTTGATCCGTCATTTCCAGCTCATGTATGCAAACTGACCAAAGCCTTATATGGTCTTAAACAGACTCCCAGGGCTTGGTACTTGGAACTTTCCCAATTCGTGTTGCGTTGTGGGTTTTTGAAGTCACAGGCAGATGCGTCTCTGTTTGTTTATTCTGCTAATGATATTACTGTTTATTTCTTGGTGTATGTCGATGATATTATACTAACAGGAAACAATGTTGCATGGCTTGATCAATTTGTTGAAACTCTGGCAGCTCGCTTTTCCCTTAAGGACCTTGGTCCCTTACATCACTTTCTAGCACTACAAGAAATTTCACATTTGGTGATAATAGAAGTTGTCACCAAAACTATCGATTTTGGTCACTATTGAAATTAGTGACCAATTTTTGAAGTCGTCACCTCTCTTCACTATATCCTCCG